GAATCCAACAGCGCATACTCAGTGCGAGGCTGGATCCAACAGCGCATACTCAGTGCGAGACTGAATCCAACAGCACATACTCAGTGCGAACTATTTGGGAAAGGGGGGTGAGCTAGCGAGACAGTCTATCCGATCAGCGCAGCAAAGACCCCAGCTCTTTGAAATACCTAACTGGCTTATTATGCCCAACAACTTAACACAATTAACAGTCCGCTTTGCAAAGAATTTCACTAACAACGCGACTATTACTGATAAAAAGAAAACAAACAATAAGTTTGCTTGTAAACCAATTACAAAAACCACCGAGGTTGCCCACTCCAAAGTGGCCCGACGATTATTAAGTGCTAACAGATACTAATGAATATCAATCATGTTTTGATGATGTATATTAAATCTGAAAGCGGATGACTGAGGCAGGTGATCTCACCGGCACAGTCCCGGGAAAGCAGGTGATTTTTCCCCTCTACAAAACCCCCGGCCTGGCGCGACCAGGCTGGAATTAATAACTCCGGAGATTCCTGTCATATTTCTCGGAGGAAACTCATTGAAAAGAAACTGCACCCACAGAGGGAGAAAGACACAGAGAGACGGCAGAAAGCGAGGAGGAAAGAGAGAGAGAGAAGGGTGGGGAAATGCATCTAATTCCCGAGGAATAATATCGCCGGAGCCAGCAAGATATTGACGGCGGAACTTCGGCAGGTGATTTGGGGAGTCCGTGTCTATAGGACGCGCTCGTTCGCAGCCCTTAGCGCTCCGGGCTTTCTATCGATTTTAGGCCCCCGTGATTACGGAGCGTAATACACCAAAGAGCTGCAGATCCTAGCTACAATTCGGTTTGGGCCATGAATATAGGTACATTGGGATGCGACGTAATTGTCAAATTCAGATTTATTTCCTCATTAACAATTGAAAAGCGCACAAAACACATCGCTGAAAATGCTCCCTGGTGGTCCGAAAAAAACTGTCATTTTTTATAATTAGTTTCCTGGCAAAATCCTGAAATTAAAATATGGTGAAGTTCCAATAAAGGTTTTCACGGCAGAGAGTGCAAGAACCGTAAGACCACTGTGACTTAAAGACACAACAAAAAAAAGAGGGGAAATCCAGAAATAACGGCGGTGCGCTGTAAGAGTGTAGACGAGGCCCGCGGGAGGCAATTGTTACAGCGGCCCCGCCGCAACTCACTGCAGGTGCAGAAACACTCCAGCAGGGTTCATCCACTTCCGCTCCAACATCTAGCCCAACTTCCGGCAATATTTCTATAGCTTCCGGTTGACAGGACAGATTCTCCTCATGAAAGCTAATGAGGATACCGCTGCGGCCGCGCACATCCAGAAGAACTGACTGTGCACCGTCGAGTGGCGTTGTATGATTGAATCAACAATGCAGCACTTCTCGACGTGGGATCGCGCAATTGATCGGATCTGTCGACTGCGGGCTCGAGGAAGAGGGTCCGCCACAACTTCACGGAAGACAAAAAAGCACATCTCAATAAATAGACGACTTCTACACTGTCAAAAACATTCAGTGTTTCAATTTTGTTGTCTGCAATGCAATGCGATGTTCAAAGAAGCTGGCTTAGAATAATAATACAATACACTCACGAAGAAACAAAATGGGTGATACGTCTGCTGACACGACAGTAAGATCCATTATCAGAGAGGTTTAACGACCTTCCTCGGAGGGTTTTCCTTTGCACAGCAATGACGGGCAATCGTAACCACCGGTATGGGTTAGCTTGTTCTATATTCTCAGGCTAACGCGGGTACACATTTCCAAGATAATGGGTAATTTTGGTAAAACAGAAACGAACAAAACGTGTTAGTCAACTTGGCATCTAAGGAACATCCCGAACCATTCCACGATGATTCGGTCTGATCAAATCAGGAAAGAACTTGTTCACCAACAGCCTGACAGGACGGCAGAACCAGGCTGTTCTTTAAAAAAAATCTTTCTCTTTTTTTCTCCCTCTCTCGTCTTGTTTTGTAGTGCAATGGATACAGCGACTACCCGATAGAGAACCACCCGGGATACTATTACTAGGAGATGTAAGCCTCGCTACAGCAAGAAGAACTATCGATGAGCAGGTTAGAGGGGGAGCAGTGGGTGTCCAGCGTCTTGAGATTTCTTTAGCGGTACACCGGGGGTTTGGAACTGCAGTCGGTGGTACGTCGTCACAAGGGACAAGCCCGTGTGGTTCCAACCGACTCACGCACTATAGCGCCAGGACCGTGGACGATAGGGTATCTACTGAAGTGTGGTGTTGGGGATTTCCAGACGACGGTCCTGTCTCCAGAGTGCAATTTCACAATGCATCATGGATGGATGTGAGATTTTGGATACTAGAGACGAATTGGAAATGATCAAGTTTCTCGCGATGATCAGAACGATTTCTGTCAATATTGTACATATAATTGCAACTATTAGTATTTATTATATCATTTTCGACGCCGTGTATTCAGAAAGAAGACATTCAAGTGGAATATGTATATAATAAGGCAATGAAGAACTAAACTCTTCAGATTAAGTTTTAATAACTATTTACAAATCGGTGTTACTGAAATAGAAACAAGTGTTTACGACGTGACCAACTGAAGAACGGTAGTAATAAAGGACACAATTTGAAATTATTGAAATTGTATCCTTTATTATATAAAGCCTTTAAATGCAGTTTACTGCATGTCTTCTCGACGTCACACCCAAAAATTATGCCATTAAAAACCGACATAATCCTTTGGCTGTAAAATGCGCCACGTAAGCGAGTTAAGGTGTATAAAATATGTAAGTTTCGGACTGTAAGTACAGTAAGTTCATAGATCTAAATGAATGTGGAATACAATAATTCTCTGATGTTAGTAGGTCAACACAAGATGTAATAAAATGGATTGTTGGTTTAACAAAGTTTTCGTTCACATGGGTTAAAAATCTGCGTAGGGCTGAGGTTGGATGTGCAATTCTCAAAGAAATTCTACACAACTTAGGCTGTTTCGTCATTGGGGAGAATTGTATGCAAATCGTGGTGATGAGTTTTTCGTCTTATTAGTTAAACGGGAAGACTGATCTTGAATAGCTTCGATTTACAGACCACTTATGCATTAAACTGTAAGAAACCAGCTTATCAGTTCATATGAACAGTAAGCATCATGCCCTTTGCTATTAGCAGTCAAGTCCAGTTTTGAGGGTGCTTCATTCGAAGACATATATGTGATATTCCTAAAGTGAAACATTTATTATTTAATGCCGTCCAAGTTGGGATCTGGATGTAGACAATTGTAGATGAATTAGCTCTCACAATCCCAAATCCTCCGATATCAATATGATTCCTCCGATATCAATATGATTCCTCCGATATCAATATGATTCCTCCGACATCAATATAAATCCTCCGATATCAATATGATTTTTACACCCAGGAGGAATAAGGAGTTCGGATTAAGGCAAACTGAGTAGGCCCAGTCAACAAAGCCCAAAGTACCGGCACTGCATAGTACCTGATTCTATTCAACATTTAATAAGTACATTCATGTATACTATACTACTAAGTTACCAGTCTCTTATGGTTATCGTGCCAAAAATGTCAACTAAAGAGATATTAAGAAAGTCTAAAATCATGACTACAATTTGCCTACCAAAATGATAGCTGATGGTGAATGGGGGGGGGGCTTGGCTCATGGACCAACAGCGAAGAATGATCTTTAGAACATAAAATGGTTGATTACTTGAAGGTAACGGCAAATCGGTTTTTTTTTAAGTCTCCGAATCAGCTGCTTACGGCTGAGAGTTACGCACGCGTCCATGGGAAGTGACTGCAGCCGTTATACGTATTCAACGGCTTCCGTAAGCTCAGCGTTATTTCTAGCCGAAGCCATAACTTCTAGACACAGTCTTCTGACAAGTGAAGTGCGCCATCGTTGTGAACCAGTGTTGAGAACCCACTGTCATATAACTTTGTCCACTTGGGATTATTGTCAAAGGACCAACATGGCGCAGTACTCATTGCAAGTTTTATAAATTTACAGTTCAAACATTTCACAGAATTCAGGCCTTGAATTCGAACATCGTAAACATAACTTGGATAATACTACACAAAGAAGGTCGGTACAAATTCGAAGCGCAGCAAACTTTTATCTTCTGCAGTCGTGCATTCAATGCAGTCTAGGGGCGTTTTCCAGTACTCAACTTCGTCTCCCCGGTTGTGGGCCTGAAGCGTTTAAATTACATTAGATTACTGTATTTTGTGGGCTTTCGTGCATCTTTTTTGATGTTCTGTGGCACTATTAGACTGAATACTGCGCTTACAGCTTCAAAATCAGCTAGCAAAAACCAGTTGAAGCCTGAGACGGAACCAAAGTTGAGTATTGGAAAATCTTATTTTATCTTGCGTGAAGCGCCACCAGCCCATAATCAAAATGAACTTACCTTGATTTCCCGGGATTTCTGAACTTGAACTCCTGGTTGTGCATACTTTCTTGGTTGGAATACTAAGTCCCATGCTCAATCAGTCAATCCAAGACGATAAAGTTAACGTAGCTAATCCTTCTGTTCACTGGACATTTAAGCTCTCACGAAGCACGGACTATTGATCTTTGACGACCTTCGAACATACTGCAACATCACTTGACAACTGAACTAACCTCCTTCGCACTGCCTCCTTTCCTCAGACTCTTCAAACAGTGCTCCTACAAGAATTCTTCCGTTACGTGTTTTACAGAACCTCTAGCACAGCAAACCCTGCACACAGGTTTCCAGTAACTACCAAATGTTAACAGGGCGGAACTATTTTGTCTTCGACAATGGAACTGCCTCATCACATTGTCCAATGCCCAGTCATTGTGACAACTTTACAACTCCCAAAAAGCGCTCGCTGAGATGAATGGAATTTGGGAAATTCTTCGAGTACAAAGCCAAGTCTTTTATTCCTTCGCGCAACTACATACCTAAGCCAAGCAAGCACAGGTGCGAATTGAGATTCCTAAAAGGGGACCTTACGTCACGACCAAGAGTTCATAGGCTGAGGGTTGTTTTTCTATCAGTCTTCACTATTATTCCCTCGAAATATAAGCAAAACCCTAAAACTGCAAAAGCCCGAGTAACTCTAGCCCAAACGTCATGGAATCAGGCGCTGTACCCTAAGCTGAAACGGCATAAAGGCGAGTAAGGACGACAAAAGTATTCGTACAACGTCAAAAACGATGGTTTCTATTCAAATATATTTATTACTGAATACTTTGTACAAAACTGACCACACGGAAAAGCTCTTCCTTAGATTTCATTACATTCATTCACAACTGGACTGATTTACCCCAAACAGAGAAAGCTTTTTTAAACAGAAAATCTCTCTAATGCATACCAGACATTTACTGAGATTCTTTCATTCAGTCTTTCAAGGCCTATTCACGAAAAAATTATAAGTTCCTTTTGTGTTACACGTGCACGCGCCAAAATACTCTTGCGATGCAACTACTTTATAGGTTTAAGGTGGAAATACATATCTTCAAATTCTACAAAGCCAACACCTACGCAACATGCCGAAAGTTAGTACAAAAATAGTACTGTCTTGATTTAAGTTAAAGTGCGGAATTCAATTACTCAGTACAGGCAGACCTTTGTATCTATGGGATTGGCTTTGACTGCAAAATAGAAATATAAAGGGACAAACAATATCAGATGCCTGTTAAACCCATTTTGGAAACTAAATCCGCTTTCGAATTCCATAAAATTCTACTGCTATGGGATATTTATATTTATTTATAAATAACATTTTCACATAAGGTGATTCTTAGGAGAAAAGGTAACTTTCTTTGGTTTTTTCCCAAGACAGACTCGCTCCTAGAAAAGATAACATCGCAGCAAGAGCGCATGCTTTTCAACAAAAGCACGCAGCTAGGTGTTTTAAACTCTACGTTATTAATTGATTAATTAGGGAAAATAGCTCAGACTATCCCTCCATCAATACTCGAGGAATCTTTTAAATCACAAGAAACAGCACTTAGCAATTATAATTTGCAAAGCCCATATAAAACTTGTTATAAATGCAGCCAACGGGTACGTTACAAATAGAAATATCAAACCAATAAATTAACACATTTCTTAAACAAACAGAACGAATCTAGCTTAAGGACTTCGGTTTTGCTAACTACCTCGTCCACAGGGAAGAAAACAAACAAACAAACCAACTTATACAATGTCAAGTACGCATAAGGAATGTTAACATATTTTTCTTCCAACCTAAATATTGCCAATTATACATTTTGCATATTGTTACAGGCACAATCTCTGGGAAGGTTACACCTTGGCATGCACCAATATTTCCACTGGAATACCACTTAAGATTTTCTGGGTATACAGATATGAAACAGTTGTCAGCATTTCATGCGAGTTACACGCAAGAGGGACCCCAAGGGCGTGCAATATGTTACCTGACCTCTGTTGAGGTATCCCAGACGAAAGTAGCAATACGCCTCCAGTGTGTTAAAGTAGATGAACACGTCTGAAATGCATCTTTGTTTTTCAAGGGGTAAACAAATGAAAAGCGGGGGGGGGGCGTCGTCAGGGTGCTCGAGCCCTCGAGCGCACCCTGGTACGCCAATGGTCATGGCTGGTAATCGAATGGGGTCTTTGGGATGTAAGAAGAGAAAAAGCACAGTCACCCTGACTGCCGAGAGGTGAAACATTCATGGCAAAGACCGCGCACCTAGTTTATGTGGAATTCAGAACTCCATAATCATAGAATTCCATTGTTATATTTGCAGAGCACCAGAAACTTCATTAAAAAAAACGCATACACACATTTCACAACGCATCAAACGACAATAATTTAAAGTTATATGACATAAACTGATATTTACATAAAATTCGATGAACTAACTTTTACAAAAGATTCAGTCCAATATAAAAACAAGCTTAATAGTTAAGTGAACTTTTCAAAGCTATCGTGCCAATTTTCCGAATGCCACATTTTTTAAATTTTAAGTGCCGCTCTTCAACTCCAACTTTGTAATCATTTATAAACAGAAACAAAATATCTTGTTTTGTTAAATCTCAGTTTCAATTAATTTCGATTAAAGCCACAAGACTACAATTCAGCCCTTTCTGAGCATTTCACCAGTTTTTTTTCAAACAAAAGCACATGTAAACCAACATTTTGGTCAAACCAGCAGCCTCAGTTGTTGCATATTTGTCGACAACGGAGAAAACGGGTCAGATTTTTTGCATATTAAATGGTTTTCATACACAAAGGATACCTCTAACTGGACGTGTGCTAACTAGACAATGTGCAGAAATTGATAGTGCAAAACCTACATACGCATTTGTCCTAAATATGAATTTCAAAAGTGGCATATTCTCCAGCAATGATGTCCTGAATATTGACCTTTTACCTACACAGAATGCAAACCATGCGCCAGTTTACATTACAAATGGTTGCATCATTGACAACATATAAAACTTTTGCTTCAGGAACTGCCAATTACAATCCTCACTTCTTTGCCAAAAAAAGGCGTTTGCATTACCAACGGTTTCTAGAAAAAGTATGACACGCAGAATACAACATTTAATGTTACAAAAAATACAACAGATCCTTCTTGATAATATTATTTCCAATTTATCATAACCAAGAATGTATTAACAGGAGAGATAACACCTCAGAGAATGTCTCCAGAACTAGAGCCGGTTTCGACTCAGATTCAAGTCACAAGCTGTTCATGTAACTTGGGATTAAGGTACTCCCTTCGATATTTGTTTAATCATCGTAAATCCCCTGCTTGCGAACCGGCCAGTGACCTGACTTGTAATTTGACAAGTGATCGATTGAACTTCAAATGAAGAGAATGGCAACCGACTGCCAAACTGGTTCTTTTTTCCCCTCGGTGAATATGCCGGAATGTTGGATCAAATAAATATCAACAGAGGCAAAAACGAAGGGAGCCATGTTTTCCTACATTTTCATATGCAAAGAACTAGAATGTTTGGGGTATCTAGACAGACCTGCTTTCTTTAAACGTGCGATGCTTGGCATGGACATTATTTGCTCAGTAACAAATTACTGCTTAAAAGGGACTTCCGAGAAGGGTTGACAATTGGGAACTGAGGGTGACGTCAGGGGGCAGTTTTCATACGTGTACGGGCACGTCACTCCTTGCTGTCAGAAGACCCTTCTTCAGCATAATCTCCTCGATATCCATGTCCTCCTTTTGCTCCCTGCAAGGTGCAATGGAAACGTTTAAAGCACTGGAGCCGAGCCCTCGGCCTTACGGGAGAGAGCAGAGAGGGTCACAGACAAAGTTGGTCTGATTCAAAAATTGCCTTTTAAATAATAAGGGTGTAGAGACCTATAACACAACTAATTTCACTAGACAAAAGTCTGCGATAAATAGGGAATGGGATCTAGTACATCTTCCAACAATAAAATTAACGGCAGGATATGTACACATCCTAGGAAGGGAACAGGGAGCTGTTGGCAAGGGTGTAACTTGTCAAACCAAAATCGTAAAACTCTCAACACCAAATAATAAATAAGCCAGAACAAAACATACACCAACAGTGGGATAATAATTTGATTTCCAAACCTTGCTCAGTAAGCTTATTTTGCTCAAAGGTTCAATTCGCTACTCCTATTCTGATAACCCACACCCCGCACAGAGATAAGGCGCAATTTTATGTTGGCAGCGCAATTACTCCGTTACATTTTGTTTTGGAAAGCTATAAGCAAACTGCCCACACTGTGTATAATGTGCAACACACTGACGTCTGTCCTCATTGATAGTACCCCTTGAGTTCCCTTGGTGCATGGGTTTCAAAGATATCATGAAGTCACCAGTTGAAGTTTACTTCTCTGAATGTTCAGTGACTGGACTTACTTTTCAAGCTTCCATCAAAAACACTGTGGCTAGAAAGAGACAACTGAATAAAGTAAGACTCCTTTTTCACAACCACCAAAGGGCATGCACAGCACATGTATTGTTCCTGAACGCTTGAGCAAGCCCAAGCACCAAGCAAGCCATCTGTCTCACAAGTCTGATATGAAATGCTCAAAACGGCCAGGCCCAAGAGCTCTTGAATGTAAAAGCAGGTTGGTAAGATGGAGGCAGGGGAAAAGTCAATTCCTGATGGAAACAATAACAGTTGTGATCATAGGTAAAAGGACTTTGCCTGCTGTTGAAAAATAATGAGAAAAAATTCCACAGGTGTCATGTTCACTAACTCAGTTTTACTCCGCAGGTGGTTTGATATTACAAAAATACCATGCTGTTCATGCAGGACACTTTTACATATTTAGCAAGTTCAGTGGATGGGGGAAGGCATGCGATCATTCACTGTTCCTGACTTCTTAGCAATTGAAAAGATGCTCTGAGCTACAATGGGTGCGTTCGATTCACTTACAAGGGGCAACCCTGACCTGGGGATCGTCATGTGTACTGAGTCAAACAAGCCAGACTGTGGGGACCAGGTTGAATCCGAGTCAGTTGGAGAAACTGATCGAAAGCACCCATTATGTCACAGGAAAGGGCCAGCAAGGGCTGACCACGCTCTCAAACAATTGTCAAATGAGGACAAGTCACTGTTGTTTCTGTAACTCATCCATGTAAGGCTGTTTATACTCTTTCACAGAGTAACTTCTCGTATGTCATGCAGATGCAAGGAGACCTGTGACTTAAGCTTAAGGACTGTCCGTTGAATTGGTAGTGCCTGAATACATTTTGGTACTTGTACTCATGAAAATTTATCTGTACTTACATGAAAAAATTCCACGTATTCATACTTCAGGAAAAGTACTTGCATTCTCACTCAAGCAAAAGTAGTTATACTCAAACTCATGCAAATGTACTCATACTCATGCAAATGTACTCATACTAATGCAAAAGTATTTGCACTCATACTCATACTAAAGTACATGTACTCATAAGTACATGTACTCATGAGCACTTGTACTCATAAGTACTTGTACTCATACTCATGTTAAAGTACTTGTACGCCAACTAGTGCAGAAGTACTGGCCCACAACACTGCTTTTCAATGGTTTTGTGAGGACTCTTTAACCGTAACACTCCTCAGTCCTCCAAAAGGTGAAGGACTGAGGAGTGTTAGGGTTAAGGTTCCAACATGGAGTCCCAAACTACAATGTAAAGTATCAGTCCTTCAACTTGTCACAACAGGAGGGGAAGGGTGGATAGGGAATGACAAACTGAGACCAAAAAAGGGGAATCCGATATGCAATGGGCATTCAATCTCCGTGGACATGCCATGAGACTAGGCTCTGTACCTCTACTGTTAATGATGTTAAGGTGGACGAAGGAAAGCGATCCTGACAAGCCTTCAAGCAAGCCAATACCTCCTCGGTGCTGGGTTGACAAAACAAATGAGAGGAGTGAAGAAAGCAATGCTCAGATCTCGAGTTGGGTTTAAACACTGTCACTTCCCTTCCAATATGTGCCCACTTCTGATGATACTTTGAAAAAGAAGTCTACCATTTGAAAACTGCAAAGATGACAAGCTGACAGAATTCGTAGGGTGCTTTGTAAATAGCGTGTGTGAAAAGAACTTGTTAAGCATAGTGCTATGCTGTGCTCAGTGCCTGTAACAACGCCTCTCACTGATGTTAGCCTAAGAATTCAGCCGTTCATGTCAATCCTGCAAACTGGACAAATGCTCGACCTATACTCTGCTGTTGCTTGCAACACTTCAATTCAAGGCCCAGGCGGGTAAAGTTTATCACCTGAATACAATCCATCAGGTCCTGACAAGAGCTAGTTTTGATCTGGCTCAAAATTCTCCCCCCCCCAAAAAAAGACATCACAGAGAAATCAAGGTGAGAATTACCAATCTCAATGCTGCAACTACTTGATCCTTGCCAATGCCAACAATTTCTCTCGACACACACTGTTGATCAGTTTCTTGATAAGCAACAGAGGCAACGTGACATCAGGCCTTAAGTAATTTCCTTTCCTGCAATTAAGCATCCTTGATAAAAAACGAACAGGTGATTTCGCTTGGTTGTGAAAGCAAGACCTACTTGAGTCTTTCTTCCTCCAGCAGAGCCACCAGAGCGTCTCTCTGCTCCACAACCTCCAACATCTCCTCAAGAAGCAACTTCTCTACCTCCCGATCTTGCTCCGTCTTCTTGAAATCTGGGCACGACACAGACAAGACATCTGCTTATTTCGTCCCCATCATGCGAGTCATTTCTTCCCCCGTGGGGTGAGGTAGACTCGCTACTCGGGGTTGAGATTGGCAGACGATGAGAAATCTATGCAACACCCAGCAGAGGAGTTGTAACAATGGCAACAATAAACTGCTGCGACTTTTCAGGGCTTTTACTAGCGATTAAAGGCTCAAATAGCTATAATTCTGTGATTCCTGCATGTGGCGTTTTGTACGAAGCAGTGGCGTGACTGGGGTACATTTTGCAAGGGCCACTTGGGGCACTCATTTTCTGGAGTGGACAGTACCCCACCCCCCTTCCCTCCTTGGCTACAAAAGCGGTACAAAGTGCCAAAAAAGTTACAAAACCCAAACGGTTGAACCCCTGAATATTCCTGAAAAAATCCTTACAAGAAATCACACTCGTGAAGACTACATGCTGTCTGAAAGACAGTGCTGAGCAAAATTCTGTTATTCTCCCAGGTAGGTGGATTTAGGAGGGAAAGGGTCAAGCAAAATTTCTAGAACCAAAAGTAAAAGAGAAGTATTTATGAGTCGAAATCATTTTGATCTCAAATAATATGGCTGATGCTGGATAAGAGAGCTGGGTTATTACCCTCGACAGCCATGCGTTGACGGAGTTCTTGCTCTAGCTGACAGTGCCTGTCTTCAAGTTCCAATTCACGAGCCCTGTTGAGGTGATTCAACATGAAACCGTGCTCACCGTCATACATGAAACACATTCCACAAGTTCAAGTAATTTCCAATTTGTGAATTGAGAGAGGAGAGTTTACGTCTCCATGACCCTTTTCATGAAAGAAGATGCTTAAAAGATCAAAGTCTAAGAACACTTGCCTTAGAAAACATAACAACGAATTCTGGGTGGTAAGAAATAAAATGAGCACAGAGTGTCAACGCTAGTTTTGAAGACAGAAGCATCATCACACACTTTTCAAGTTTAAAACAGTCATGGGATCCTGCTTAAACTCTGTTGCAATCGAAGCCTGGCCTTTAAGGTAAGAGACCAACATGGCCTTAGAGACTTTGGTGACTTACTGGACCATGAGCTCCGACTCATATCTGACCAGGGCATTCTTCTCGTTGACCAGGTTAAACCACTGCTGCATCAGAGTGTTTTCATCCATTCCCTCTGATGCTGCAACACAAATGATAACAGAACATCAAGTACCCATACGCTTCAAATCACGATCACCATTACTGTTTTAACCTCGGAAGTTTAATTGATTTTTCACTTGAAGAATAAAGTGTAAATACAGATGTATATTAAACTGACATTTATACAGTGGGCTGGTGGTTTGAAGACAGTTCATGAAAAGCACTTCTATAGAGCTGAAGTGTTCATTCATGTACTTACAGGCTAATCCAGTGATTAGAATTAGGAATCATCACTGTGGGGCGATCCTACGCATTTGCACGTGGTACGCGCATTGCTTTTCTCTCTGACATAGAGGATGTTATGACTTGCCAAAATGGGCCCATGCGCTCAAATTAAACCCTGTGCATGAAGGTCATGGCCCCGCAGGAATGGTATCTCCCAGCCTATACTCAAAGTACCCTTTTCTGTACTTGTACTCCGTTTGGGGAATTGTGATCATACCAATCTACTAAAATAGTGTTGCAGTACTGATGTTTGTACACGGGTACTATTTTCTGTTCTTGAACTTATTGTTCTAGGCTGTATTACCATCAGGTGCTATGATTCTAATTGCCAAGGCTTTGGTCTGGATTTCTTTGCGACAGGGCCACAACCCCAGTGCTTACTGCCTTCTCCCCGGCCCACAACCCCAGTGCTTACTGCCTTCTCCCCGGCCCACAACCCCAGTGCTTACTGCCTTCTCCCCGGCCCACAACCTCAGTGCTTACTG